AGTGGTACACCCAGATTTATTACTATCTGACTTTAACGTGTGCCCGTTGACCAGAGTCTCCCCTTTCCATCCCTCTTCCCCCACAGCCTCTGCTAACATCAGTCTCTTCTGTACTCCTTGAGTGTGACCTTTCTAGCTTACACATATAAGCAAGATCATATGGTATATGTCTGTGTGTGGCTTGTTTCAGGTAGGATAAGGGCCCCTAGAATGGTCCAGGTTGTAAATAATAGACTTGCCTGGGTCTTTTTGGGGCTGCATAGATCTCATTATGCATATATGCCACAATTTTTGTCCATTCATCCATTGATGGGCACTGGGTTGTAAGTAATGGTGTAGGGAACAGGGGAGTGTAGACATCTGTTTGGCATTCTGATGTTAATTCCATTTTGGTGGGTTTGCAGGATATTGCCAAATTGTGTACAGTATTGTCAGGTGATGTAGATGGGGAAGTACAAAGGTAGTTCAGAAAAGTTTGTTGAAAACTTGAATTTAAAATACACATTTATTTTGGTTCCAAAGAATTTTTCATAGTACATGGGAAAAAATGTGTACTATGAAAAATCTATATGTGAGCCGGTGCTGCGGTTCACTAGGCTAATCCTCCGCCTTGCGGCGCTGGCACACCGGGTTCTAGTCCCGGTCGGGGCGCCGGTTTCTGTCCCGGTTGCCCCTCTTCCAGGCCAGCTCTCTGCTGTGGCCAGGGAGTGCAGTGGAGGATGGCCCAAGTGCTTGGGCCCTGCACCCCATGGGAGACCAGGATTAGTACCTGGCTGCTGCCATCGGATCAGCGTAGTGCGCCTGCTGCAGCGCACCGGCCGCGGCGGCCATTGGAGGGTGAACCAACGGCAAAGGAAGACCTTTCTCTCTGTCTCTCTCTCACTGTCCACTCTGCCTGTCAAAAAAAAAAAAATACAATAAAAATCTATATGTGGATTTCAAAATTGCTTTTGTACAAAATTTACTTGTACTTCTTAAGAAATTCTCTTTCCATAAACTTTTTGAAGTATCCTCGTTTTTATAGGAAAGGAGGTAAATGCTGGTGCTATATTTTTATTTTTAACAAGCTAATTCTGAACTTGTTTTCTCTTTAACAGTAACATCGTGAGCTTAGTAAATAAACTGTTCCTTTGTTATGTGCTGTCACAAAAATTTGCCTCTAAGAAGTCATATTACTTAGCAGGTCAGCATATAAGCCTGAGGAATCAGCTTATTATTCAATTCTAATTTCTTGGTTCTAGGACTGGAAAGGGGTTTGAATATTGCAATACAGATTTCTGAAAGAGGGGATGTTTAGCAGAGAATGGGATTGCAGTTAAAATACACTTGTAAATTAAAGAACATTTCTCCAAGAAGTAGGATCCCTTCCGTGTGTAGGGAGGCAGTGGTGGAGTTAATCCATGTCATATACGCAGTTAGTGCAAGCAGCACATTCCCACATGCGATTTCACTGTGGAGCTTCACCAAAAAGCTGTGCTCTTCTAAAATTAGGTTCCCAGAGGCTGAGCCAAGTCCTAGTATGTATGTATGTGGGGAATTAACATTACCCTGGAAGCTTTATCATAACGACCTTTGCTGTGTAAACTCAGAAACAGAGACCCCACAGTTCAGCTGTGAAAAGCCATCACAGCAGCCTGACTTCATAAATGTTCTCCAGCCTGGCCGCGACATCTGCCATAGCTGAACTGGAAACAGGGAGAAGGAAGTCTTTGTTGCACAGAATGATCTCTTCTTTCACTTAGGCCCTTATTTTTGAGCTTGAGTTTGAAATTCTTTCTGCGCTTATAAAAGTTTCTTGATGTTTTATGCTTATTACAAATAACCAAAATTCTGTCAGCATTTTGTCTGGATTACTTTCTCATTTTAATTTCATGTATTTAGATGATTTGGTTAGATATTCTGCATTTGTAAGTACTTAGAAAAATTAAATTTTTTAAAAAAGATGTATTATTTGAAAGGCACGGAGAGAGATCTTCCATCTGCTTGTTCACTCCCAAAATGGTCACAACCAGGAGCCAGGAACTTTGTCCTGGTCTCCCAAGTACTTGAGCCATCTGCTGCTGCTTTCCCAGGTGCATTAGCAGGGAGCTGGATCAGAAGTGGAGCAGTTGGGATGATTGCCTTGCTGGTGTTAGCTTAACCTGTTGTGGCACAACACCAACTCCCAAGATTCTGTTTTTATATCTGATCCAGGCAAGCCCAACTTAAGTTAAACTTGAAATAATAAACAGAAAACTACTTCTTGGCAGGCATTGTGTCTCGGCTGGTTAAGCCACCACTTGGGACACTGCATCCCATGCAGTTGGTTCAAGTCCTAGCTCCTCTGTTTCCTGCTAGTGTGCCTGGGAAGGTAGCAGATAATGGCCCAAGTATTTGGGCCCTTGCCACTGCTGTAGGCGACCCAGATGGAGTTCTAGACTCTTAGCTTCAGCCTGACCAAGCTCCAACTGTTGTGGCCATTTGGGGAGTGAACCAGTAGAGGGAAGATATCTTGTCTCCCTCCCTCTCAAATAAATCTTTAAAAAAGAAAATGAATTCCCTTCTTCAAAGCTGGTGTTAACAAAGTTGCCAGAGTTACTCTTTCTAGGAGCTGTAGTTACTCTTTCTAGGAGCCCTGTGGTAGATGATAATGTTTCATTCCTACATCAGATCGGTTGTAGAGGGACATTCAAAACTAAAATATCAGACAAAAAGATCCTCCACTTGTAAATTTTGGTTTGGTTTGGGCTATTCACTGTCACTCTTTAAAAGATCATGGCTAGTTCCTCCCCTGAAGGGTGAAGGAAGACAACTGATGTTAGGGAATATTGGTAAAACAGAAAGCTACCAAAAAGGCTTGGTGCTGAGGCAAGATAAAGGATAGTTGTGGATCAAAACTACATTGGAGACAGATGGTATTGCCAATTACAAATATGTGAACTGAGCTTACCTTTGGAGCACTCGGCAAGTGTGGAGAGAAAGGATGTCATATGAGGACAAAGGGCAGTGTTGTTCAGTTGGAGGAGGTATTGGCTTGCAACATGTCTCACATTAAGAACTTAATTCAGGGCTCTGCTTCTAGGTAAATATATTTTGAGTTTCAAAATGGCTTTTAAAAGCACATATTTTGTATAGAGATGTAATGCTGAGGACCAGTTAAACCATTGCTTGATGACTTTCAAATAAATAAATCTTAAAAGAAAAATAGTCTATAGATAAAAAAAATGACAACCTGACAAAATAACCTCCCAGAGGCAAAATAGGGGCTGTCGTTGGGAATAGCATTGGTAGCTCCTTGGGAGCCCATCTAAGGCAGGGTAGGGGCTGTTGTTCTGGCACCGTGGATTAAGCCACTGCTTGTGTCACCGGCATCCCATATCAGAGTGCCAGTTCAAGTTCTGACTGCTCCAGTTCCTATGAAACTCCCTCCTAATGCACCTGGGAAGGCAGTGGCAGATGACCCAAATACTTAGTCCCCTGCCACCCATGTGGGAGACCCAGATGGAGTCCTGGCTCCTGGCTTCAACCAGGCCCAGTCCCTGCAGTTGGGGACATTTGGGGAGCCAATCAGCACACGGAAGATATCTCTGCCTTTCAAGAAAATATATAATTTTTTGGATAGCCAGCCTCAAAGGGTGGGGAGTGGGGGTGTCCTAGAGTTTCTTAAAAATGTTTACAAAGGGGACCAGCATTGTGGTGGAGCAAGTTAAGCCTCTGCCTGCGATGCTGGCATCCATCTGGGTGCTGGTTTGTGTACCAGCTGTTCCATTTCTTTCTTTCTTTTTTGAAATATTTATTTGTTTATTTGAAGGGCAGAGTTATAGAGAGAGGCAGAGGCAGAGAGGGAGAGAGGTCTTCCATCCACTGGCTCACTCCCTGACTGGCCGCAATGGCCAGAGCTGTGTAGATCTGGGGGCAGGAGCCAGGAGCCTCCTCTGGGTCTCCCAGGCGGGTGCAGGGGCCTGATAACTCAGGCCATCTTCCGCCACTTTCCCAGGCCATGGCAGAGAGCCTTATCAGAGATGGAGCAGCTGAGACTTGAAACGGTGCCCATGTGGGATGCTGGCACTGTGGGCGGTAGCCTTACCCACCTTGCCACAGTGTCAGCCCCCTGCTTCATGTCTTAACCAGCTCCCTGCTAGTGTGCCTGGGAAAGCAGCGGAGGATGGCCCAAGTGGCTGGGCCCCTGCCACCCATATGGGACACCTGGATGAAACTGGCTCTTGGCTTCGGCCTGACCTAGCCCAGGCCATTGTTTCCATTTGGGGAGTGAACCAGCAGAAGGAAGATCTCTGTCCCCTTCTCTCTGTAACTCTGCCTTTCAAACAAACAAATCTTTAAAAAAAAAAAAAAGTTTATGGGTCCGGCAGCTGTGGCATGCAGTGCCAGCGACCCATGTAGGCGCCAGTTCAAGTCTCGGCTGCTGCACTCCCGATCTGGCTCTCTGCTGTGGCCTGGGAAAGCGGTGGAGGATGGCCTGAGTCTTTGGGCCCCTGCACACGCGTGGGAGACCCAGAGGAGGCTCCTGGCTTCAGATAGGTGCAGCTCCAGCTGTTGTGGCCTTCTGGGAGCGAGGGGTGGGCCAGCAGATGGAAGACCTACTTCCCTCCTTCCAATCCTCCCTGCCTGCCTCCCTCCCTCCCTCCCTCTCTCTCTCTCTCTCTCCTTCTCTCTGTAACTCTGACTTTCAAATAAATAATCTTTAAAAAGAAAAATAAACCATTGCTCGAAATTGAGAGTCAACGAGGGTCATGCTGTCCGTGGTGAAGGCTTCACAGGTCATATGGTCTCTCCACCATTTTTACAAGAAAGAAACCAGAGGCAGCACTTAAGTGAACAAGCTTGGCGGTGGTCTGGTGAGACTTCCACAAGAACAGGAATCAGGTCAGAGCTGCCCACGGGCTGCAGTTTGCCAGCCCTGCCCTAAATGGAAAGATGTTAAGCTACCCCTGTGAATTTTGGTCTTATTTGTCATGCCTCAACAGTCTGTGTGTACAAATTCTCAACATTATTCTGTTTAGTTACTTCAAGAAAACCAAGGGAAGATGAAAAAGATGGCCAGGCATATAAATTTGTGTCGCGGTCTGAGATGGAAGCAGACGTGAAAGCTGGGAAGTACCTGGAGCATGGGGAATATGAAGGAAATCTCTATGGAACCAAGATTGATTCTATTCTCGAGGTTGTCCAAACTGGACGGACTTGTATTTTGGACGTCAACCCACAAGTAAGCTGCATAGGTTCCAAAGCTGTTCTTCACGTGTTGGCTTCTGAGCAGGTTTTGTTCCTGTATCTCTCTGTCAGGGGTCCGGAGTGGTGGTGGGTTAGTTTGTCTAGGTGGCAAAGTGGCTCTTTTCCTGTGTCATCTCTCAGTGCTAGAGAATCTTATCAGGAATCCATAGCGAGTTAGATAACCTCTGGCCTGTTAGCCAGCAGAAACTGTGATTGGATCTGTTGAAGAAATTTGGTGTTTACTTGCTCAATTGTTAGGAAATGTTAAATTTTAAAAAAAAAGTTAGGCTGCAATATAAAGAATAAGAAACTGAAGGGACCTGCGTTGTGACATGGCGAGCATCCCGTATCAGAACGCCAGTTGAGTCCCGGCTGCTCCACTTCCGATCCAACTCCCTGGGAAAGCAATGGATGACAGCCCAAGTACTCAGGACACTGAACACCATGTGGGAGACCCAGATCGAGTTCCTGACTCCTGGCTTTGGCCTGGCCCAGACCCAGCTATTGCAGCCATTTGGGGAATCAATCAGCAGATGGAAGATATCTCTCTCTCTCCCTCTCCCTCTCCCTCTCTCCCTCTCCCTCTCTCCCTCTCCCTCTCTCCCTCTCCCTCTCTCCCTCTCCCCCCATCTCTCTCTCTCTCCCCGTCTCTCTCTCTCCCCGTCTATGTCTCTCTCTCTCCCCGTCTCTCTCTCTCCCCGTCTCTCTCTCTCCCCGTCTCTGTCTCTCTCTTGTTCTGCCTTTCAAACAAATACATTTTTTTAAAAAAATTGAAGTTGCTCCCCCCAACCTGACACACAGACCCCATTCATTTCATTCTCATTCCATAGCCCTCTAACCCACCCTTAGACCTCCACACTCAGTCCTGCTTCCCATCCTTACTCAGAGATAACTGTTACTGCTGTTTTGGTGTGTATCTTTATAGTCATTTTAATGTGCCTTTAATGCAAATGTATGTAATTAGCTTTCTGTTTTTATTTTTTTCTTTTTATATAAATGGAAGAATGCTGGGCAGATTCTGTGGCTTTTCCTATTAGCGTTTCTTGAAGCTCTTTCTGTATCTGTTACCATAGAGCTGTTTTGGTTCTTCATCGTTGCTGCATGGTGTTTCACAGTACAGATCTACCCTTCATTTAGCCACTTTCCAGTGAGTCAACACTGAGGTTCGTTCCTACTTTTTCAATAGGAACACAATTCTAAGATTATCAGAGAGTTTAAGCAACCCTTGATGATTTTTATAATGGAGTTTTATATTTTCTTTTGTTTGAGAGGACTGAAACTGACTTCAGAACAAAATGAGTGAATCATTTTAGGAGAATACTGTGTGGAATCAGGACAAAAATCATGTCCTTAATATTAGGAAGATGACATAGAAGTGCAATTGAGCAAATACCAAATTTCTTCAACAGATCCAGTCACACAGTTTTTGCTTATGGGTGCCTGTTCAAGTCCTGGTTGCCCAACTTGTGATCCAGCTCATAGCTAATGCACCTTGGAAGGCAGCAGAGGATGGCCCGAGCGCTTGGGCCACTGCCACCCATGTCGGAGACCCAGATGGAGTTCTAGGCTCCTGGTTTTGGCCTGTCCCAGTCCAGGGTATTGCAGCCATTTAGGGAGTGAACCCGAGGATGGAAGATCTCTTTCTCTCTCTCTCTCTCCCCGTCCTTCCCTCCTTTCTCCTCCTCCTCCGCCTCCCTCTCCCTTTCCTTCTTTTTCTCTCTCCCTCTGCCTGCCTTTCAAATAAATCTTAAAAAATGATGGCAGATAGACTTTGACTTACACTAAACGGTGGCATAATTCATATTCTGGTAACACACAGATCGGTTTATGATCATTCTTCTACCCAGGCACTGAAAGTGTTGCGGACCTCGGAGTTCATGCCCTATGTGGTGTTCATTGCTGCCCCCGAGCTGGAGACTTTACGCGCCATGCACAAGGCCGTGGTGGATGCAGGAATTACCACCAAGCTTTTGACGGTGAGCAGTTCTTTACAGGCCAACAGTGTGATTTTCCTCCTAAAGTTCAGCCTATTCTTTTGCTTAATTCTATTTAAACATACTTATGAAATAAGCTATTGCATAAAGTATTATAGAGTAAAAATTAATTTGCCAGGTGAAGTTAGGGTTTGGAACAGTATTGCTGATACACAAAAATCATTGTTTACTAAGACAAAAGCTTAGTTCTTCATAAAATGAACAAGACAAGTATTAAAGTATACATTAAACAAATCCTCACTTACTAATAAGGACACTGAGCTCCAAGTCCATTAACAGGCATGTCATCGTGTGGTTTGTTAGTGGTGGAGTTAGGTGTTCTGATGTTTTGTCTCTGAGTATGCCTTTTTTCATCTGATGCTGAAAGTCTGGGTTTCTAACAGTATTAATCTGCCTGAAGTTTCACTTAATCTTGGAGATCATATGGATTCTTCATCTCTTTCCATTTGTTTTGGTTTGGTTTGGTTTGAACAAATCTGACTGCTAATGACCATAATAGCTAAGAACTGCATTCAGCTTAAATTGTGACCTATTTGTACAAGTATGATGAAAGATTAGAGAACAGAATTACTTAGGAATCTCAGAGAAGGTATTAATTGAATTGAAGTATTGGAGTTCTTTGGATCTGGTGGTGAGCCCACTTGTCTGTCTATACTTAGGTGTTTTCACCCAAGTCCTCCACGTGTGTACCATTATTATTCTGATGGTTTGTATGTAGCTGGCCTAGACCTTGGAGCCCTGACGTGTTGGCTGCTTTCCCTCTCCTCTTGGTGTCTCATGTCATCTTCATCTTACTACGCACAAATTAGAACATTTTGTTTTCCCAAGAAAATCATATTTTCCCATCCAAGCCCCACCCTCAACGCTGCCTGTTCTACAGCCACCCACTTACTCAAGCTAGACTCAACTCTTCTTGATTAATTTACTTTTCTCCCTTTTTCACATGCAGCCCATCCATTTATCATAATGACTTTATCAGCAACATAAATTTCCGAGTTAGTGCTGTTTCCATCTCCTCTGCTGCCCTCATAATCCAGGCAACCTTCACTCTGACCTGAATCATGGCTGGCTGTCTTCCCACTTCTGCTCCAGTTGTGTCATATGCCTCTCCAGGCCCATAGATTTCTGCCTCGTGTGGGGTCTCCCACCCATCATGGTCTTCTCAAATGTACCAGGGCCCTTTTCCTCCCCTGCATTTCACGGTTCTGTTTCCTCTGCCTGAAATGTTCTTTCTCCTACTATACACATGACGACTTTCTTATTTTCCTTCAGTTCTCAGCTTAAATGTCATTTGCACAGTGTCTTTCCAATCACTCTATCTAAAGTAAAGCTCTTACAATTCTCTGTGCCTGGGTTATTTCTTTTATAAAATTCATTACAGCTTGCAAGTTGTTTGTGCTTAATTTGCCATTTACTTGTCTCCTTCACTAAAGAGGAGGGTCCTTACACCACTGGTTCTGAAACATGGTGGATACTTTAATAGGAATTCCATCATGAAAGGATGTTGTATCTTATCAAATGCTTCCTCTACATCTGAGATAATCAGATGGTTTTTAATTCTTCAATTTGTTAATATGATGTCCCACATTGATTGATTTGCATATGTTGAACTATGCCTGCATACCAGGAGTAAATCCCTCGTAGTCAGTGAGTGATCTTTCTGATGTGTTGTTAGATTCGATTAGCTAGTATTTTGTTGAAGATTTTTGCATCTATGTGCATCAGGAATATTGGTCTGTAGTTCTTTCTTTGTTGTATCTCTTTCTGGTTTTGAAATTAAGGTGATGCTGGACTCATAGGAGGTGTTTGAGAGGATTCCCTCCCTTTAAATTGTTTTGAATAGCTTGAGAAGAATTGGAATTAGTTTGTTTGTTTTTTTTGTTTTTTTTGTTTTTTTTGTTTTTTTTTTTTTTTGACAGGCAGAGTGGACCATGAGAGAGAGAGACAGAGAGAAAGGTCTTCCTTTGCCGTTGGTTCACCCTCCAATGGCCGCTGCGGCCGGCGCACCGCACTGATCTGAAGGCAGGAGCCAGGTACTTATCCTGGTCTCCCATGGGGTGCAGGGCCCAAGGACTTGGGCCATCCTCCACTGCACTCCCTGGCCACAGCAGAGAGCTGGCCTGGAAGAGGGGCAACCGGGACAGAATCTGGTGCCCCAACCAGGACTAGAACCCAGTGTGCCGGCGCCGCAAGGCAGAGGATTAGCCTAGTGAGCCATGGTGCTGGCCCGGAATTAGTTCTTCTTTAAAAGTCTAGAGGAATTCAGCAGTGAAGCCATCTGGTCCTGAGCTTTTCTTTGTTGAGGAGGGTCTTTATTACTGATTCAATCTCTGTCTTGGTTATTGGTCTGTTTGGTTATTGGACTCAATTTTGGTAGATTGTATGTGTCCAGGAATTCCAAAATGCACATTTAAGATGATTGCCTTTCTTGGAGACAAGCAACAAATTGGCTTTGAGCTTTTTAACAGCCATTGCAAGTTGGGTTCCATGATCAACATAGGCCATAAGATGAAAATCTTTCTTAAAAGGATGATACCATTGAACTAGAAAGCAGTCATCTGCAATAATTCTTTTATTACCTTCAGTTCACCCTAAGATTATTGTCAGTAGACTTTTAATTAGGAATCTTACCCTCAAATCAGTGAAACAGAAAATAGAAGATACTTAGAAATGCAAACATGAATGCAAATGAGACTAGGATGTGAACAGGCAGCAATGTCTTTTTTAATATTTATTTATTTGAAAGGCAGAATTACAGGGAGGCAGAGACAGAGGTCTTATGTCCACTGGTTCACTCCCCAGATGGCTGCAATGGCCGGAGCTGCGCTGATCTGAAGCCAGGAGCTTCTTAAGGTCTCCCACGTGGGTGCAGAGGCCCAAGCTTAGGCCATCTTCTTCTGCTTCCCCAGGCCATAGCAGAGAGCTGGATCAGAAGTAGAGCAGCTGGGACTCGAACCAGTGCCCGTGTGGGATGCCAGCGCTGTAGGCAGTAGCTGCTACGCCCCAGCGCCAGCCCCAGCAATGTCTTTTAACATTCTGTGTAGTTTTTGAGGGTTAATATCAGAATTATGATACACACACATCCAACATACTTATTTCTTAAGCACTTTTTGTTGGAATCTGAGCAAGCAAATCTGTATTACAATACGAGCATTTGCTTTTAACAGGACTCTGACTTGAAGAAAACAGTGGATGAAAGTGCCCGGATTCAGAGAGCCTACAACCACTATTTTGATTTGATCATCGTGAATGACAATCTAGACAAAGCCTTTGAGAAGCTACAGACTGCCATAGAGAAACTGAGGATGGAGCCCCAGTGGGTCCCAATCAGCTGGGTTTACTGACAGTTCAGTAAGGTCAACAGTTAAAACTTGAAAAGTGACTGAACAAATAAACCTTCTGCTGAGAAAAACACATGTACAGATAGAAGATACCTGCTAAGCCCAGGCATTTTTATTGTGTAGAATGAAATAACTGTACACTATTCTGAATTTTTATATAAAATGTGGTTGGGAAGGTGTACTAATATATAATTTATCTTAATTTTTCTAACTTTTTATGGATAATCTTTCTATTCATATCACATAAAGAAATGCGTTGAAGCATTTTGTATATGTTTTGATTTAGTACCCTTGCCTTTTTCATCAAAGGAATTTTCAAATCATTCACTCTGACATTGGTCTCACATTTTCACTGTGATAATGAATACTTGAAATAGTTTTGTAAAGCTGTCATTTAGTTCAGTATTTAACCAGTGAAGGGTTCGTTACTCTTCTTAGGAGAAAGTAGTAGTTATTGATCTTCCTTCTTAATTAAATATCCTACAGAAGCAGAATTTTAATGGCAGTGCTACAGCCAGTCTACTACCATCTAAATCTGACATCAGAAGTCTGTCCAGTGCCACATATTTCTGTTATTTCAGCCATGTATGGCTATCCACTCTAATTTATACAGATACCAGTTCTTCCCTTCATTTATGTCATTAGAAAATGAGCAATACCTTGCCCTCTCTTACGAGGTTATTATTTTCATTTGTTGGTAGTTACATGCTGAACACTCACTAATTTAACATGCACATGGTACGCTCTGGGGTTGGAAACAAGGTCACAGAGACTTGAGAGTGCCTTATCCTGTAAAACCTTGCAGCAAAGTGACACTTGAAGAAAGTTTATTTTCACACGCAAATTTAATGGACAGAGGTGAACCTACTAATTTGGACAGGTTTTGATTTTCTTATATGTTGTGTATTAGGTTGTGGTCCGCCAAAGTCTCGTGCCTCCGCACATATCTGAGGTATTCCTCTGAGGTTGCAATTGGGGGTTTTCGTGAATGATCAGTATGTGTTTTGAAATGTGATTTGATAATTAGGGTATATATCCTTGTTGTGTTGAAAACCAAATCAGTTCAACAATTTACACGATTTGGAAATAACTGTAAGCTGTTGTATACATACGCACGCACACACATAATATATACACTATATAATATGTATTATATATTATATAGTATATATGAACATTTTTAACATTTCTGTTAGGGAATATACTTTTGGTTTAATGATTAGGAAAAAAATTCTTTAGATGGCTTTATATAATGTACAAATTGTCACATTCACCTCATTTAGTATCTTCCTTTAGCATTTTTGGATGCCATAAATTCAGAAACACATTCAGAGATGCAGCTCATCATTAAACTAAGTTAACTATATTTTCTACTGCTGCTGGCTTCTCACACAATCTTCACTCTTAAAAGCACTAGGTGCTCAGATACTAGCGTTTGGTGACAAGCACCAGGTGCCCAGCGGCTGAGTTTTTCTCCTTCACCAAAGCTGTCACGGGGCATGCCAGTTAGGAGGATTTTAAGGGAAGAGAATATACAAGCCGTACTCACAGGCTGTTTTAGAAACAGCGCTTCATGATACTCAAGTTCCTGTATTGTTGAAATTAGAAATCTGTAGGGTTCTTGTTATTTTTTTAATTCTAGAATTTCATAGCCAAGAACACAAATTCATGTTCCTTGTGCTGAGACAGGAATTTGTTGACAGTTTCTTGTCAACTCTGAAAGCTTTTAAACCATATATATTTCTACCAAATTCTTGGCTTCTCAAAGCAACACGCATCAAAGCACACAGTATGGAGGTGATATCCTATGACTTAATGTTTCAACACACTACAAACATTTCAGTTCTGCACTCTCAGGAAATGTGCGGTATTCCCTGGTGCACCCTGGCACTGCCGCGTGGAGCTTGTTTAAATAGCTTTGGCATAATTGTAGCAGTGCAAGAAGTTGATCCGCAAAATATTTCAACCATGTTGGTGCAGTAGAGATGACTTCTGCCTCATAAATATTTTAGCCTTATCATGTAATATAGAAATGCATATTGTTTAGAAAATAGCCACTTAAAGGAGTTTTTTCTATAAATGGTGTTCATGAATTACTATTTTTTTTAAAGATTTATTTATTTATTTGAAAGAGTTACACAGAGGAGAGGCAGAAACGGGGGGGGGGGGGGGGTCTTCCATCCAATGGTTCACTCCCCAATTAGCCACAACGGCTGGAGCTGCTGATCTGAAGCCAGGAGCCAGGAGTTTCATCTGGGTCTCCCACATGGGTGCAAGGGCCCAAGCACTTGGGCCATCTTCCACTGTTTTCCCAGGCCATAGCAGAAAGCTGGATTGGAAGTGGAGCAGCCGAGTCTCAAACCAGCACCCATGTGGGATGCCAGTGCTTCAGGCCAAGGCGTTAACCCGCTGTGCCGCAGCACCAGCCCCCATGATTTACTATTTAATTAGTGGATATTAGAGTCCTAATATAAATGGAAATGATGCAGTTTAGTTCCTTTCAGTCTAGCTGAAAAACATAAATTTAGAAAAGTTCCTTGTATTTCAGTGAAGAGTCACCTGACTTGAAACCCAGGTCCTGCCTGATTCTGAAGGAACCAGCAGTGTTCTGCTGGGGAGAGTAGGCCCAGAGGCCCCAGGGTTCTTCCTAGGGAACGGGAGCATGGCTGTGACCTAGGAAATGCGAAGTCTGGAGAAAGATCTAAGACAATCCGCCTTCCCGAAGAGAACGTGGTCCACAGGGCTGCTGACCCGTGGTGACAGCTAAGGACAGACACAGGTGTGGGTGCTTTAGGGGACATGTTGTGCCAGAGCATGCGTGCATCTGAGGTCCTCGTGGACAGAGGTGCTCGCCTCAGCACCTAGGGCAGGGCTGCTTGCTTACACGTGACTGAAGGTGTACGAGTATTGTTCTCATTTTTAAATGTACAAAATACCTGTAGAAGTGATATCCCTGGATGCGTCATTTGTCTGTAACTAGTGCACTGACATGCCCTTCAAGTAGAATTGTTGCCTTCATTGCAGTCATGCCTTTGTATAGCTGCATTTCTTATTGATATTTGGATAATGTCAGTCAAACACATCAGGACTTCGTTTTGTTCAATCCTGACTACACAACAGGTGAACACAGCTTCCTCAAGTAGGAATTATATCAGAAATTCACTGTGATTACAGCAATAGCATCCTTAAACTCTAGATTTGACTCATGTCAACTTTTTTTTTTTTTTGGACAGGCAGAGTTAGAGAGAAAGGTCTTCCTTCTGTTGGTTCACCCCTCAAATGGCCGCTACGGCCAGCACACTGTGCTGATCCGAAGCCAGGAGCCAGGTGCTTCCTCCTGGTCTTTCATGCGGATGCAGGCCCCAAGCACTTGGGCCATCCTCCACTGCACTCCCTGGCCACAGCAGAGAGCTGGCCTGGAAGAGGAGCAACCGGGACAGAATCTGGCTCCCCAACCGGGGTGCTGGCGCCGCAGGCGAAGGATTAGCCAAGTGAGCCGCGGCGATGCCTCAAGTCAATTTTCAAGAGCCTATAAGAAAAGTTTCCTTTGAGCTGGCCAGTTAGTAAAAGAGATGTAGAAAATAACCTACATCACCAGTAGTGGAACTGCAAGACACAGTGGGTTAAGGGTCAGGTCCTAGCCACTTTGACCATAATGTCCCAGTGACAGTTAAAAACAATCCTTGTTTTAAAAGAACCAGGAAAATGCTACTTATTCTTAGTTATAGTAACAAATGTCATTGATCTGGTGATTGGAGTTAATTTTTAAGATGGATAGCCGTATCCACTTAAGTGTAATTATTTTGAGTCAGCAAACACTGATAAGTCTTGAAAACTTGTCAAAATATAATCAACTTATATTTTGTTTTTATGATTTCTGAAATAGTGCTCCATTATTCCATTAATCACAGGCTAGAGAGCCAATGATTTTTGTAGGAATAAACCTTTATACTAAATATGGCAGTCCTGAGGTTTTATGTATATAAAAAGCATTCTTTTAAATGTTTGAGTCACTACATGTGACATATATATATATATAGCTCTGTGTATAATATGTAAAATTCTCCCAAAATACATAAAACTAAATGTGCTCATAACAGGTATTTTAAATTTTTAATTATGCCCAAATCCCTAGACATTCTGAAGCAGTGTTGTTAGATGGCTTTAAAAAGTCCTAGGTTCCACCTTGAAGCTGATGCTGATCTCCTTTCTGAAAAGTATCCGAGGAGTTAAACTCGGAAAATCCTCACTCAGTATTGTAACTTAATCTCCTTACAAAAAAGGATCATGTTCTAGATGGAAGCCTGTTGGGAAATACTTACTTAAAACTTGGAAAGAATTTGTGATGCAGGCTTAGAGACCACAATACCTGCCCTCCTCTTGCTATAAGGAGTTTGCTGTGAGAATTCATGTGGTAACATATGTAATATATTTAGAATTATTGGGAAAATTGTAATATATCAAATAATGGGATAACTATATAGTACAGGTAAATATTCACAAATCTTAATACATTCAATTAATTCAGCATCACATCAGTTTTTATATAAGTATATGTGATATACTTGAGAAAGATGACAATTCTATAATTTTGTAAGGTTAATTTTAAGTTGCATCTTTATTCTAGCTTTTTTTCAAAATTGTGTTCATTTTAAAAATATTTCTCATAATTAGTCATGTTACTTTCTGTGTTCCTGGAATGGTTTTTGAAAAGTGCAAAGAAGCAAATATAAGTCCTTTATATATACACTGAAAAGTGAAAGAGTGACGATAGCTCGTGTCTAAGGTAAGAAGCATGTTTTGCACCACTTCGGCAATATCCTGCAGTACTTTCTTAAAGACACTCTGTCATGATGAAAGTAAAATGGTAAACTTCTGCCGGCTAAGATCCTAATTCTGACTTCTGACCATGTGATTTTTTGATAAAAGTTTATATTTCCCTTTACCTTTAATATTCCACTTAATAGGGCTCAGTTAATCTTTGTCTTCACCTTAAATATAAGAAGTAATTTGTTACTGTGATGTGATAAATGCTAAACTGGAAAATCCTTATGAAGCTACTTTATCTGTTCATTAAATGTGTGTGTTTATATGGAGGTTGTTTATCTTTTAGTTCTTTTGCATCTTCCTGAGGTAGCTCTTTGTGAGGTAATGCAGTGCGAATGGGGAGTACCACTCCAGGACCCCGATGCAGTTAGTAGCCTGGAGGAGGGTCTGTCCTGTGCTTAGCGGCCCAGTCAGGGAGACCCTGGTTTCTCGGAATCCCACTTTGAAGTCGGGACCCTTAGCAAATCTGTGTTTAACAGACTCTGAACTTTGCCCGGCGTTACGCCTATGCTTGAAATTCACCACTGCAGCCCTATTATTTATCCCGTAGTATTGTGTAACAGGCATCTGTTCCTTCATAGGAAGAAACATTCACCGTGAAATCCAGTGAACCTCAAAATCCATTTTAGTTATTACTTATTTATTTGAGAGAGGGAGACAAAGAGCTCCTATCTGCTGGTTCACTCCCCAAATGCCCACAACAGCCAGGGCAGGATGGAGCTGAACTCAGTCCAGGTCTCCCCCCAGGGCGGCAAGGGCCCGACTACTTGAGCCATCATTTTGTGCCTTCCAGAGTGCGCATTAATGGGAAGCTGGAGTCAGGAACTGGAGCCCCAGGGATCTAACCCAGGTACTTCTACAGTGTGGACCAAACAGTGGCCCACACTTTATCCTGACCGCTTCTCAGTCACCGGCCAATAGTGCAGCGGTGTGATGCATCTGAATTGTCTCCACATGGAAAGTTGGTCAAAGGAGAATTTTTTCCTCCGCTAGCTTTTACTCTTTTCTAACAGCACAAACTGAGCGTATCTAAATTTAAGAGAAATGCTGCTTTAGCAAGAGGTAGAGTATCAAATGATTTATTGCTTGTAAAATGGCTTCTCTCCTCCTCCCCTCACCATGAAAATCCCCGGAAGTAGTACAGAAGTGGAAAGGTCTGCCGGCGCCACGGCTCACTAGGCTAATCCTCCGCCTTGCGGCGCCAGCACACCGGGTTCTAGTCCCGGTCGGGGCGCCGGATTCTGTCCTGGTTGCCCCTCTTCCAGGCCAGCTCTCTGCTGTGGCCAGGGAGTGCAGTGGAGGATGGCCCAAGTGCTTGGGCCCTGCACCCCATGGGAGACCAGGAGAAGCACCTGGCTCCTGCCTTCGGATCAGCGCGGTGCGCCAGCCATGGCGACCATTGGAGGGTGAACCAATGGCAAAAGGAAGCCCTATCTCTCTGTCTCTCTCTCTCACTGTCCACTCTGCCTGTCAAAAAAAAAAAAAAAAAGTGGAAAGGTCTGATTTGATACCTTGGCAATAGTTGACTCTACTGCACTTCAGCCACTAGCAAGCCAGGGATGGCAACATATAAATAGGATAGGCCACACCTAAGTATTGACTTTCTTCAGCTCCCTCAAGGTGGCTTGGGCACTTGAAGGAAGCCTAATGAACTGACGTAAGGAGATAAAAAGCTTAGCATTAAAACTCATTAGCCACAAATGACCAACCTGAAGCCAGAGTCCTTTCTCGCTAGTGTACAGTTTCCCATCTTAGAGGGGAGAGGGTGGGCCATGGTATCATGGTATCTGCGGCATTGCAGACCTCAAGCTGGTTCCGGTAAACGCGGTCCACATGAGGAAAGTCTTGGTGTCCAGGAAGAACCATGCTGGATGCACAGCTCCTCCGCACCTCTACTTGAAACACAAGCAGACGCTGCTTTCCAGCCGGGAATCCTCTCTTGCAAAGAACCGCTGGCCGACTCCTGTTCCTGAGGTATCGCTGCCTTTTTTTTTTTTTTTTTAAGCTGTGTGTTGGACTCTGTTGGTGGAATGAGCAGCAGGGAAAAGCAACAAGTGCTGTTTACTACCCTGCGCTCTGGGAGCACCTGGCCAGGCTGAGGCTCCAACCTGAAAATCCTGCTGTGGGAGCTCCTGGTTCTTCCTTTTCCCCCCACTTCATTTCCCTGTATTTTTCCCTTTCAACACAAACGCATGCTCTTTTTAACCTCTAGTCTTTGAAGTGATTGTAGAAAAGAATTTTTTTTTTTCCTAAAGGAGGGAAAATACTTGTCAGCAATCTAAGAAGAAAGCTGATGAAGCCACTTAAGTTTCTGGTGGAAAGGTTTAAAAATAAAAATTAATTGCCACTGCTTTCCAAGTAATTCTGTCACTAGTTCCTGTATAAAAGAAATGTCACTGCTGTTCTTGTATAAATAGAATTTTCCTGCAGTACAATTAGTATTGACTTTTCACACATAAATCTCTTCACATATTTCCATATGCTGTCCAAAAAAACTAAAACGTTCCATCTGTGAGATTATATATTCCTGGTAAAATATTTTTGTATCGATAAGGAAATAAATATTTACTACTGGGAAAAATATACTGCTTCATTTACAGGTAGAACTTCAAGGTTTAGAGAGATTTTACAGAGGACATCAGATTAGATTTGGTAATTTCTATTAAGTGCTAATTAATACTTTGTAAAAAGTCCCTAATGTCACTCAGCTTTCACCACCTAAATACAACTGTCACTTGCCTCTCTTTCTGCAAGGAAACACTAGCCATTGTTTCCTCTGTTCCAGCCCAAGGGATTCGGTGGCCTCAAAGCTGGCAGTTCTCAAGGGAAGAATTTAGAAAGCAAGACCCGTGTGCCTGGATGACACGGGACACCATGCGTGTTCCCAGACATGGGGACAGCCGTGTGGGTGGGCAGGACGGTGCACAGAGCCTCAGTGGAGCACAGGTCAGCCCTGAGCCTGCAGGGACGGGGAGGGGGCCGTGGCTGTGGGTGGCAGCAGGAAGCCTCTCTGCAGAAGGGGTCCTTGGCAGCTTTTTCCCAAGCAAGCTTCCAAGGGGCCATGCCTCCCGCTTGGCTTGCTGGCCCACTGTGTTTCTATCACAGCAATCACACACTTTAGAAGCTTGGTAGAAAGTGCAGCACGTGGTACCAGGCCAAAACCGCAGTGTCGGCCAAGGCCTGCCTAGTCTTGAGGGCTAGAGGAGAACCCACGGACTGCTCCTCTCCTGGCACTGGCCCCTCTGTCGTCATCCTCTCCTGCATTTTGTTTGCCCAAGTCTCTCCCCTCACTGGCCCTTCTGTCTTCTTCAAGGGACCACCCAGATAGTCCAGGGTAATCTGCCCGTCCAAGGTCCATGACCTTAAAACATGGGCAAAGGCCCTTTCTGCCTTAGAGGGCCACTGTCGTGGTTCCCAGGACTAGGTCATGGCCACCCCTGAGGGGCTATAAATGGCCCAAGCACTACCTAATGTCAGTGGTCCTGTCTGTACCGGGTATGAAAAGAGGGGTGCTACTCTGGGGATGTCCTTTTTTTACTGTTTCCAGGTGACCTGAGCTACTGCAACTTCTCAAACCTAACTGTGGAAACAGGTATTGTCTTGATCTTTTACTAGACGAAACTACAAGTTTAATGTTCTTAATTGGCTTTTATTTGCCATATTGAGCAGCCCTCAGACGGAGGACAGGTTTAGAGAAGTCTGAGGGCTGCGGTATGGCCAGACAGCATCCACGGGCAGCAAAGGGCACTCTGGCCTTTGGTTATACTCAGTAAGTAAAGGTGCAGTTTCTTATGTAAATGAGGAAGTATTTTAAAAATGTGGTGATGAAACGTTTTGGAGGTGCAGGCACAGCCAGTGCTGCCTTGCTCACCACGTCCCTGTGTGGCCCAGCAGCAAGTAGAGGCTGGGAACACCCAAAGCCCCGCAGGGTAGCTTTCTGTAACAAGGCAGGGAGACAACTGCGCCATTAAAATGCCGGAGCCGGGAACTCAACCCAGTCTCCCATATGGTTGTGGTTGAGCCATCACCTGCTTGCTCACAGAGGGTGCATGAGCAGGAAGGTGGATGGAAAACAGCAGTTGGGATTGGAACCAGGCATCCCAAGCTGCCCTACATGCCTGCCCCTCCACCGCTAGTTTTTATTTTTTTGTTTTAATTTTCAAGATAATACATACTAAATTCTAACAGGAGTAGATGAAAATTTCCCTCTTCCTCATTCCCCAGCCTCTTAATTCTTCTAAAAACAGCTAAGCTTTCTTGTGAACACCTAAAAATTTCCCATGCATGTATATATTATCTATTTTTGACTCAAGTAGATTCATATTGCACATTACAGTAGCAGTTTGTCCTTTATATTTATTTCATGAAACCAAAAACAGCATGTATTGTCTTAGTACATCTCCTTAACTTTTGCATATTTTTTTCCAATTTGTGGACAAGGTAAGTACTTACTCTCCCATAGCTGCTACAGTACACAACTATGATGTGCATTTGCATAAGGTTGAGTCTCCTTTTTAATAGAAGTGATGAAAGGTTTATTTGCTTTATTTCTTCCTTGCTAACATTCATTACAATCTGAAGAGAAGAAAGGGGGTAAATGGGTGGTGCTGAGTGACGTGCATCTTCAACTGCTGCTTCTGGTGCCAGGGGCACCAGTGAGACATCCCCGGCTATTTATAGTAGAAAGGCATCAAGACCAACAACAAGCACAATATACAGTTTTCTGTGACAGAATATGCAGTATTTTACATAGAAATGCATGTATTCAAAATGCCTAGAACATCAAAACATTGTTATGGACTGGGAATTACTATATTCCCCGAAATGTGGAAAGATCACATAAAACGTGTGTAGCTAAACCTCCCCGAGCAGGGGGCAGGGTTGTTGTTTACCAAGAAAAATTAAAGTACAATTCTGTTTAGCAGAGCAATATATATTCCCCAGTGGCATTTGCCGCTCAGCTTTCAATCACCAAATAACATGGAGCACATCCAAAACTTTGCCTCTTCTGTGAGGAGAAATTGGCTTCCCACAGCATTCACAATTGAAAATGAACTTTCAGATCCAAGTGTCAGGCCTCCTCCGCTTTTGTGTAACAAAGTGGAAAATGGAAGAAAACGGCAGACGGACCCAGTGTTCTGCAGGAGAGAGGTCTGAGCGGATGCCGCCCAGGGTTCTGCACCCTCCCCCGCCCAGTGCTCCAATCTACGTGGACGCCAGGCCGCAGCAGAGGAGGGCCTTGCTTGTGAAGAACAGTTTGAAGGGTACC